TGTTCAGAACATTTATTTTTGCCCTGAAAGAAACTCTCATGACTTTACTGAGAATTTAATTATGGGGCTTCAAAGCTAGAAGATTTTGGGGCTTAAAGGTTACAGGATTTTGGGGCTTCAAAGCTAGAAGATGTTGGGGCTTCCAGGCTACAGGATTTTAAAGCTTTATGGCTACAGGACTTTGGGGCTTCATGGCTAGTGCACCTGGTCACCAACTGTACAGGACATATTTATTTTTGCCCTGAAAGAAACTTTCATGACTTTACTGAGAATTTAATTCCCGGATGTCCTGCATGAGAACCCAGCTTCTAACGACCCACTGAGCCACTCCTCAGAAGCAATTTAGTAACATACTGTTGATTGACCTAACCCATAAGCATTTTACCTATTGAAGCCCCAGACCGTACACAACGGGTGACTGACTGTTCCCTGTGGATCTTAACAATCACATGATGTATTCTCTCGCATCTGACTTTTGTTAAAAAGAGTCCTTTCCCAAATCTGGTTTTCCCCATGCCACTTCCAGGGTGTTTTCAGCTTCTGTGAAAGTCATGCATTCATGGTTGTTCATTCTGGCCATGCTCCCTTTTTCATCTGCAGTAAAACTGGGATTTCATGAGTTAATGAGTTGTAAACAGGTTTTGTGGAGAACAATGTGTATTGTAAATGCAGCTACTCCAGGTTCAGGGGTGCAAACAGGTGCAAGATCAATTCCTTAAAATTATTATGGGGTGAAGGCCTCAAACACCCCCTGCCCCCACTCCCTCGTCAAGTTTTGTTTGGGTGTGGAAGGGAAAAGGAGGCAAAAGCTGCCTCAGCCCATTGGCTACCAGCCCCCGTCCCCATTCTGGCTAATAAGGGGCCTTAAGGCTGTTTCTATTCTATAATAATACATTCAGCTCCCTGAGAACATACAAAACTATCTAAGAGCCAATTTGGTTCTTTATATCTTGTTTCAACACACAACAGACTTTAAAAAAAAACTGCTATGTTTGTATACATGAATTCACCAACTAGCCGCACAAATCAGCAGTTTGTCAAACTTGAGTAAATGAATCAATCCATCATGCTTGAACAAAGGAATGTATTCTGCCTAATGAATCAATCCATCAAGCTTGAACAAAGCAATGTATTCTGCTAAATAAATAAATCCATCAAGCTTGAGCAAAGCAATGTATTCTGCTAAATGAATCAGTCTATCAAGCTTGAACAAAGCAATGTATTCTGCCTAATGAATCAATCCATCAAGCTTGATGTATTCTGCCGAATGAATCAATCCATCAACCTTGAACAAAGGATATACTTACTTACTTACTTACTTAGTCGCTCCTCTTCTACCTTGGGGTGTAGAGGTTTGCCAGAGAGATCGCCAGACGTCTCTATCAGCAGTTTTCTTTCTGGCTTTGTTCCATTCCAGTCCTCTGTCAGTCAGGGACTGTCGGATGTTGTCTTCCCAGCGCACCCTGGGTCGTCCCGGAGGTCTGGTTCCCTGGTTCTTAGCCTCCCATGCTTGCCATGGTGGCCGATTTTCTCCCATTCTGCACACATGTCCAAACCATCGTAACTGTGACTGATCCACTCGGGTTAGTAAGGGCTGGGTATCAAGATCTTGACGTATTGTCTGATTGCGGACTTTGTCCCTTCTTGTCATTTGGACCACCTTTCTCAAGTATCTCATTTCCGAGGCCTGCAGCTGGCTTCTGTGAGCTGTTGTCATTGCCCATGACTCACACCCATAGGTCAGGACTGGTACATAGGTAGAGCGGTAAACAGCCATTTTCGTCCTCTTGCCAATTTCTCTTTTGCTAAGAAACCCTCGGTTTATGGCCTGGAAGAGTCTCCCAGCAGCTGCTTTTCGTGTAGCCAGCTCAGTCTTAATGCCTCCATTTTGGTCTAATACAACTCCAAGGTATTTGAACTGGTTAACCTGCTCCAACGCATACTGACCCATCATGATCTGGTGTTTCTTCTCCTCTCTTGAGATCACCATGGTTTTAGTTTTGGAGACACTGATGGTCATCCCTTTCTTTTCAAGCTCTTCCTTCCAGACAAGTAAGTTGGACTGAAGGTGTGCCTCTGATTTAGCTATCAGGGCCACATCGTCTGCAAAAGCCAGCTCTGATATACAGATTGGTCTCATCTTCCAGTACCCTACAGAGTACTTCTTTGTCTTCTCCTTACAGGTCTTGATGACATCATCCATCATAAGAATGAAGAGGTAAGGTGAGAGAATATCACCTTGTCTAACACCGCTGGTGGTCTTAAATTCTTCTGACTTTTGGTCTGCTGTTCTTACATAATTTCTGCACTTTTTGTAGAAACTCTGTATTGCACTGATCAGGGGTGCTGGGATGTTTTTCCCTGCCAAGCAGTCCCAGAGCTTGTTCCAGGGTACCTTGTCAAATGCCTTTTCCAGATCCAAAAAAACATAAGTGAATCTCACTCTTATATTCCAGGGCTTTTTCACTCATCTGTCTCAGTGTGAAGATAAGGTCTTGAGTACTTCGGTTTGCTCTGAAGCCGCACTGGGCCTCGTCCAGCTGTGGCTCTACCAGACTTCTAAGTCTCTGCTCAAGAATTCTAGAGTAACTTTTTACCGGGAATGCTGAGGAGGGATATGCCTCTGTGGTTTTCACATTGTCTGTTATCACCTTTTTTAAATATAGGTATAATGATGGCAATCTCCCAATCTTTTGGTATAGTTTTGCTACACCAGGCTGCCTGGAGAACCTTCAGTAGAAGGCGCTCACCTTCGACTCCCATATATTTGACCATCTCTGGTGTTATACCATCATGACCTGCTGCTTTTCCCAGCTTAATCTTCTCAATAGCTGCCTTCAATTCTTCCATCCTGATGTTATCTTCCCCATGATTGAATTCCTTCTCAGCAGTGAGGTCCATTATTTCGAACAAAGGATATATTCTGCCTAATTAATTGATCCATCAAGCTTAAAAAAAGCAATGTATTTTGCTGAATGAACCAATCCATCAAGCTTGAACAAAGCAATGTATTCTGTCGAATGATTCAATCCATCAAGCTTGAATAAAGGAATGCATTCTGCTGAATGAATCAATTCATCAAGCTTGAACAAAAACAACAAGTTGTTTCTTCTACTTTCTGGCCTCACTGTACACAGAATTACTGCATGCATTCATAAGTTTATGAAGAAAACAGTATTTTTCGGGTGACTAACTGAACATATTCACTGAACTGCTTAGAATTTGCAGAGGACATAATTATTCATCCCTATCTGTAATTCTGATATAGGTCTAACCCTATATGCCCACAATGCCTGAAGTCATGGAAAAAGGTCCTTAACTGTTTACTTTTACCATCTGTAACTTCTAAAGGCAAGTAACCGTCACCATTATCATCATATAGTATTGAAATCCCCACGCTAGCTATAACACTTTCAGGTAATTCCAATTTATGGCTTTCTGCCTTGTGTAATTCTCTTCAACTCCATGTCTCTCTGCACTGACACATCAGTTCCTGCCTGTTCTATCAATGTTCTTAGTCTACTCCTTTCTCTTGACCCTGATATTCTCATTTCTAGCTTCCTTTCTGTTGTCTCTTCATGTGACTGAGCTATGACAACCTTCATGTAGTGATTACATTATGCTTTTTATCTCTCTTCTTTATTTTCCCTTTATTTGTTCATCTGTCAATGTTTCAGTCCAGCTGTTCTTACAATTTATTTTACATATCTGAAATGCTTTTGTATTATCTTTAATCATATCTGTTCTTCACAACTGATGAGACACACATATAAAAGATTAAACCAAAAAGTAACAATTCACACCTGACAGGAAGTTTGTATTAAAACCAGTTTTGTAATACATGATGTGGTTACCAGATTTATTGCAAATACTCAACAATATACCACATATAAGCATGTCAAACTTCTAAAATATCTGTGTATGTACAAAAACAACAAAGTCCATTGTAGCAGTTTTGAGCTTCAAGTTGGTGGATGTGAGCAAAGTCTTAGACTGAACAACCCATGGAAATGCTCACCATCAGTCAGCAGGTTCTGCAGAGAACGTCGCTCTCTTCCAGACACACCTGAAAGTTTCTCTTTCTCTGGGCAATTCTCCAGCCCCATGAGCTTTCACAGCCGATACATCTTCAGTGTCATGTATCCACTTTCTTCGAGGTCGGTCTCTGCCTTTGAGAATGGAAATGCTACACATCAAGAACTAACTAACACAGTCAACCTAAGGCCAAGGGGTGACAGAGATAGTTATGAAAACAACTCTGTTCAGAGCCACCAATACAGTTGTTGTTGTGCCCCACCATCACAGTTGTTGTGCGGCAAGCTACTTTTGGGGCTAGATACGTTCATTAAGTAATTTACAGTTGTTGTGCAGCAAGCTACTTTTGGGGTTAGATACATTCATTAAGTGATTTGGTCTCCCTCCATTGATTATGCAAAAGCAAGTGTACAAAATGAAAGGCATTGATGAGGGTCCAAATGTGTGTATAAACCAGAGAGTATAGATATTAGTCTTTCTGAAAAAGGCTAATGCCAGAAGGTCCTGTTTTGATGCTGTTCTGCTGGACATAACTATGCAGAGGAGCTGTGCCAGATCTCCCTGACTGAGTGACCAGTGATCACTTACATCCGGTACCTAAAAAAGCAACCAGTAAAAAGGATCTTTCAGTAAAACCTTCTTGTCGCACCTGCAGTCAGAAATGACCAATGGTGACTATCATTCTCCATCACTATTAGAGGTTCTGTCACAGAGGGTGTGGGCTCATACACAATTTACAAATTCTAGCCTGATATAGGCAACCAGTCAGAAGAGACCAAGCTAAAAACCACCTGGTAACTAGGCACTCAAATTGTCAGGGCTAGTAAACTGCCACAGCCGACTTCTGCACTGGGTCTCACTATCACCCAGGAGTGTGTAGGTTGCACTGACTCCAGGTTAGCCATTCATCAATATGATGTAACTGTTAGTTCTTGAATATACTTCAACAACTGATGTCTTTGTGTTTATAAAATTCTGCACTTCTTAAACATGTCCTTCTTTTGACCAGATTTCTTTGTTTTTAAGGCATGCCTGGTAGCCAGTTCAAACACTTCTCTGATGCCTTCCTTGGTTAGAGCCGAACACTCCACATACCCAGCAGCACCAATTCTGGAATGGAAGAGAATATGCTTAGTTATATATAATTCATGAGAAAGAAATTTTACATATCACAGAATACAAAGATTTGTACTTATATAACAACTGTATGATTTGTACAATCCAGCAGTGAATACACAGCCTCACAAAAAAATATAGTATATTTCTTATACAGCTCAGCAATAAATATACTTGATGAGCATAAAATAAATCTATCATTATAAAGTAATATAACTAATATTGTAATAATTATCTATAATCAATGCGGTATATTTTTCTAATGAATTTTTGTGAACCTGACTAGATTGTGAGAATCCTTCTTCTTCTTTCTGCAGATTCACAGGCTGTACTTTGGTGGAAAGTTCCAGCTGCATGCCTAATTCTAAAATTTAGTCTTTTTCTAGGACTTGAGTGTTGCCTGCATATCCATTTTATAGAACTAGCTTATCTGTCGTTCTTTGCTTCTCGGGAGGAAATGATGATTCTATGTCCTATGTTGTAGGGGTGTCAGGTGTTTGTTTTGAATTGTTTTTTTCAAGAACATCCATTACCGATGACAGCAACTGCCAATGCATGCAAAAATACAAAGACATCAATGATTCAATACAAATCATCGCGTCTTTGGTGCTTCCCCTGCAGTTCTTCTTTCTTGCACACAGGTGCCTGTGGTTCCTGAGCTACTCATAACAAGAACAGTCGTTGACACAAAAGCCATGGGAACCCGTTAGGAAATTACGTAACCGAACAAGATGGGATGAGAAACGTTGAGTTGTACTGTTGATTCTAGCTATGTTAACCATGTTCCTAGTTTAGAACTGTTTCTATGATGATCGTCAAGATGTACAGACATGTCTAAAGTGCCATTAGTCCTGGCTGGTGCAACATCCTGCATAGTCCAGCAACAGTTTCTATGATGATAATCAAGATGTGCAGACATTTTTCAAGTGACTTAAGTCCTGGCTGCTGGACCACCCTGTGTAGTTCAGCAACCCTGCAATCCCATAAAATACCACAAAAACTGCTAACTCTAGAAAGCAATCCCTTTGATAAATCTTTGAAAATGCAAGCATTTACTATTTTATAATGCTTTATAAACTCTAACCCTTTTATTACTTTATAATCTGTTAAAAAGTCTGAAGCTTTAACAATTTCACAAATTTTTGAAAACCATCATCAAAACTGACCTTTCTGCCATTGCTTTGCCATCTTCTGTTTTTACTGGAGTTTGTTTGACCTTGGCCAGTTCGTTCAGTGTGATTGGATCGGTCCGTAAATCCTTCTTATTTCCCACCACGATGATTGGCACACTGTGGCAGAAATGTTTCACCTGTGGAAAACCAATGATTTTGCGTTAACTTAAAACCATTCACAAGTTAAGAGATAACATAGGATACTTAATTACTGGTTGGTCAGTTGGTGAAAACAGTCCTAAAATCCGATGCTCTAATAGTGGATGTCTGTTGTTAACATGAGTGGGTTTTGCTAGTCACACTCATCATCACAATGTTGTCAGTAAAGAGGGGAGGAAACAAACTGTTAGTGAATCCACTGAAAGGCAGAATGCTCTCCCTTGAGACAATTATGTTTGGATAGTCTAAGCTTCGAAAAGACGTGGATCTATCGGAGTCAGGTTGGCGTAGAGACTGTCATTTTTGACAGAGTATCATCTCTGTGGGAACTGCGTTTCCGAGATCTCCTTTTTCTCTTCAATCTTGCACATCAGTGAAGAGTGCAAGGCCAGTAGTGAAACTTCACATCAAGGGACAGACATATTAGGATGCCACCAGGTGATTCTGCTCTTCAAGTACAAACTGAGGGAGACTGGCCCAAGGCTGGTCATATTCATAGACAATCTGTAGTAATTTCAACGTCAACAGACTTGAGCCCATCGTCCAGAGGCTGCTTAATTACAAAATAATTATTTGTGTACATTTAACAGACAGTTTTGTCCTCCTGGTTCACATCCACAATCAGATACAAGACAACAAAAAGTCATATAAAGGCTGCAGAAGAAGACAGAGGTACAAAACTGAGACAAAATCAAAATATTGAAATCCTACAAAGAAAGAAGAACAACAAACTAGTATATATATATATACTCCCAGTGATGTCAGATTAACTGAAAATTTCCAGAAACACAAATATAACAGAATTAGTTTTCCTTAAATACCCACAAATATCTTGGATAAATTAGAAGAAAAAATATCAGTAAAACTAGGTCATACATTTCCGATTAAATACACAATAAAATTAAACTGTATAAGGGAGCAGTACAAACAGCAATTAAAATATAACTAAAAGTAAATGCCTTCAGGTGTATTGGGCATATAGGGCTAGACCTGTATTTTGGTGAGTGATATGTCAGCGTCATGCCAGCCAACTTTACTTTACAGGACTTTACCTCAGGGCTCACGGACCTGGGAACCATTTAGGGCTCATGGACCTGGGAACCATTTAGGGCTCATGGACCTGGGAACCATTTAGGGCTCATGGACCTGGGAACCATTTAGGGCTCATGGACCTGGGAACCATTTAGGGCTCATGGACCTGGGAACCATTTAGGGCTCATGGACCTGGGAACCATTTAGGGCTCATGGACCTGGGAACCATTTAGGGCTCATGGACCTGGGAACCATTTAGGGCTCATGGACCTGGGAACCATTTAGGGCTCATGGACCTGGGAACCATTTAGGGCTCATGGGCCTGGGAACCATTTAGGGCTCATGGACCTGGGAACCATTTAGGGCTCATGGACCTGAGAACCAAGGATTGCTTTTCCCAAAAAAGGTCTGGCTCTGTCAGGACCTGAACCCATGAGCATTAGATCCACAGGCGAGCATCTAGCTGCTACACCATGGCAGCTCCCACATAGCACACATTTTTTTTATAAACTAAAAGACCAGATAAAACATTAAAAAAAAACCTGAGAATTTAGGAGAAATTCTAGTAAATTCTAGTAAAGATGAGCTTGTAGTGATATAGTTTGGGTAAAACAAATGTCCTTGTCACAGAAGGTAACACTAAATACACCCATACAGAGAAATAAGTGCAGAAAACGAAAAAGCCAGAAAACACAGGAGTAACACTGCAGACTGTTTTAACAATTATTTCACACCAATGTTCACGGTTATTGAGGCTACATACTCAAAGTTAACCAGAGGATGACACTGAACATGAAATGACTGACAAGTCAATTCTCTTGGAGAAAGTCCACTTCTCTAACAATCAACTATCCTAGAAGTCCACTTCTCTAACAATCAACTATCCTAGAAGTCCACTTCTTTAACAATCAACTATCCTAGAAGTCCACTTCTCTAACAATCAACTATCAAGTCCACTTCTCTAACAATCAACTATCAAGTCCACTTCTCTAACAATCAACTATCCTAGAAGTCCACTTCTCTAACAATCAACTATCCTAGAAGTCCACTTCTCTAACAATCAACTATCAAGTCCACTTCTCTAACAATCAACTATCAAGTCCACTTCTCTAACAATCAACTATCCTAGAAGTCCACTTCTCTAACAATCAACTATCAAGTCCACTTCTCTAACAATCAACTATCCTAGAAGTCCACTTCTCTAACAATCAACTATCCTAGAAGTCCACTTCTCTAACAATCAACTATCAAGTCCACTTCTCTAACAATCAACTATCCTAGAAGTCCACTTCTCTAACAATCAACTATCCTAGAAGTCCACTTCTCTAACAATCAACTATCCTAGAAGTCCACTTCTCTAACAATCAACTATCAAGTCCACTTCTCTAACAATCAACTATCCTAGAAGTCCACTTCTCTAACAATCAACTATCCTAGAAGTCCACTTCTTTAACAATCCACTAACCTCAGGAGTCCACTTCTCTGCAATGTTCTGTAAACTGTCCGGGCTGTCTACACTGAAGCACATCAGTACCACATGAGTGTCTGGGTATGATAAAGGACGTAGTCTGTCATAGTCTTCCTGCCCTGCTGTGTCCCAAAGTGCTAGTTCTACCTGTGGAATAACAAACATTACTGTACATCAAAAGCTGGCTTCACCTGTTTAACGAAACACATAAATGTATATCAAAAACTGATCACAAAAATTGATCTAATTTTCTAGACTCAGTGTAGGTAACTACTGTCAACTGTAGAGAAAAAGTAAGAGGTGAAATATTGGAAAACAGAGGCAGGTCATAATATAATTGTTTATTGAATAGACTCAAGTCCAAAGCCAAACCAAGGACCGAGGTGATGATGTTACAAATTAACCCTTGCAATTATTACAATCCAGTGTTACAGCCTGGTTTTTTGCATTTAAAACACCAAGAGCTTTTGCTTTAAAAAAAAAAATAATCCTCCAGGAAAGAGCTGAAGTCAAATAAAATAGGACAGAGAAATGATACCAGAGCACACTACTAGGAAACTTGGATACCGGAGTAAGGGTACTTGGAAACTTGGATACCGGAGTAAGGGTACTAGAGGATTGTGCTGAGTGACTGAAATAACTGTAATGTGCAACTAACTATAAGGTTAAAAAAGGGAACATATTTAGTGTGCCAGCTGCTGGGGTTCAGTCTAATGTGAGGGTCCATCTGGGATGTAGGTTAGGTGACTAGGGCCTATCTACAGCCCCTAGGTCCTTCTGCCTTGGTGATATCAGGCTAAACATGTCCCTTGTATGGTTCAAATTAACCAGGTTGTTAAGCCTAAAGCATATTCTAAGACATAGTAGGATATGGGAAGACCAGTTCTAATATTTACAGCCTCTCCTTCCCGGACAGATGGAGGCTCTGTAACCAAGCCATTTGCCTGCTGCTCTTAGAGGTGGGTGTTCCATTGACGGCTACGTCGCTCAGCTCGCATGTGTATTTTTATGGAGATCCACCAGGAACATCACCAGCACTAAGAACTTAGTGCTTTCTGTGATGCTCCCAGCTGATGGCCGTTCTGTGTAGTGGGATGAAGCTAAATGGGATTAAACCTGGTACAAAGACTCTAATCGTCTCGACTTTAACCTTTTAACTTTAACTTCCCTGCCATTGTTCATACAGTTGTTATGCATATAATTTCTGAATCAGGTTAACCGTACAGCCAGTCTGGTTTAAAAAATTCAATACCGGTCAGCTGTCTTGGCATTTAACTGTGACACTTAGCAACAACTAATATTTTTTAATAGAACTACAAATCTGATGTATTCAAGACTGTTTTTAGGGAAATCCCATATTAGAGAGGGTTTAGAGTTAGTAGTAGTCGCTACTTATTTAAGCCTAACCCTAAGCCAGACCCCCCTATAATATAGGATTTCCCTAAATCTCGGCTTAGAAGAAAAGAACAGAGAATGCTGCAGGTGCAAAAGTTCCAGTATTAGAAAGAAGACAACAATCAGAGCCTCATTTACCTGTTTGTCATCAACAACAATGTCAGCAACATAATTCTCAAACACAGTGGGCACATAGACTTCTGGGAACTGGTCCTTGCTGAAGACAATCAGCAGACATGTCTTACCACATGCACCATCTCCGACAATCACAAGTTTTTTCCTCAGTGTTGCCATTTTCCTTGGATGTTTTCTACTGATGTGCTTATTTTCTGTAACAATAGTTGAATGAAATGTTTGATTGAGAATTTTGTCACTAATCACTGCCATCAAAAGGGCTAATAGTTTGCAATAGTTGGGATATTTAAAGAGAATGGAAGACAGAGAGACAAACACAGTGTATGTTAAGGATTTGAATGGGAGATAATAAACAAGCAAACATTCACACATGTGGAATAGTAGTACATTTGACCCCACTAGGACATCACACAAGTGATAAACACCCAATGACACAAAGTGCCACCATGTGGATGGGGATCACCCATGGAGAGTCCTGTTCAGCTATTAGGCCATAATTATGGCCGGGCTATATTGTGGCCTCTGGCAAGAGCCAGGGTGGGGTTTCAAAATAACGAAAAATTGTATTCCACAAGGGAATGGTGATTATACATTTGGAGTCACCAACTGGAAATATAAGGCCAGACTCAGAGATGAATGGAAGAAGTTGAACCTCAAGGATTTATGAATGATGAAGATAAAGAAGAAAATACTATATTTACTTTATTGAGACGAGACGACGATAAATCATGTGAACAAAGAGCCCTGACAAATTAATGTCGCATGACAATGCAGGGAGGTAATCACTGTCTGTCCCTTGAGATTATTAATCACTTTTAATTAAAGTTACGTCCCTTTGTGAGGATATCACACAAGCGATAAACATCCGATGACTCAGTGTGACACCATGTGGATGAGGATCACCCGTGGAGAGGTCCCAGAAACCGCGTTTAGCCAATAGACAATATTTATGGTCGGGCTATATTGCGGCCCATGGCGAGAGCCAGGGTGGGGCTTCTAAATAACGAAAAATGGCATCTCACAGGGAGATGACAGGATAGGCTAAGTAGTACAGGAACAAAAGATGGAACAAGCATATATTGGAGGAAACACTAGGTAACATAAAAACCCAAAACAATGTTTTCCCGTTGTAAATTTAAATAACGCGGACACAACAAATACACTGCACAATTTACAGCCTGCCATATTTCGTTGGAATCTCGTCAGGTACGTCACTACAGAGTTAAACCAATATATAAGGAAGAACCTTTTCTCTTAAAAACAAAATCTTATTGTCATAGCCAAGTTATGATTATTTTCTCCCTTCTTAGACATTTTATGGTAGGGCCGGCTCAGATGGTATTACCCCCCCCCCCCTTTATGGTGATACTTATAAACAATTTTGCTACAGATTTTCAGACTGACTCTTTGCTTTCCATGCAGAATGTAATAAGCCGCAGATTTGCAATCGCCCACGTTTAGTAACATGCCTGATGTGTCCGGTGAGGTCATGCATAGAACCACTGTACACACATACACTGGTACCAGCTAGCACACTATTCTCTGCTCTAGTTTGCCGTTATCTCAGTAAGTACACAACCACCCAGACCAGACCCAGGCGGCCCAATCTGAAATCTACACAGAAGAAGCGGCTATCTGGGCAGCCAGTCAGTGAAGTGTAGTGGTCTGCAAGGACAGCCATGCCACCCCATCCCCTTCCCCCGAGCAAACTAAGACTGTCAGATCTTCGACTAGAGAACTTTAGGTTCACTGGGTGAAACGAGATCTAGCTGGGTGTTTTTCCCCCAGCTGACGGAAGTGCTCCAGCTAGCTGACCTGAGATGATATTTCCGAGAGATTATAACAACTTGGACAATGAAATCAACACGAACCAGGATATCAATGCGAACTTTTAGCACAAGATGGTGTAATCCGGACAAAGATGATCACTACCGGTTTTATCGTCAAACTTTAGAAACGATCTGTTGTGGCTTCTGGTACTCGAGAGTTGAAAGCGCGCGGCACTTTAGTGGCGTTAAGTGTAATGTTCTGAAAGCATTCTTACCAGTCTTCACCTTTTTCTTTGCGTTCTGTTTGTTCGTCTACTTCTGGTCGCTTGTCCTGTTCCTAAGCGTTGAGGGCAGTTTTACAGAGCTGATTCATTTGTAAGCAAACTGTTTTTTCATGTCAGGCAGATGCACTCACGATTTCGAAGAAAGTTCTCAATTTCTCGACCCTTACGATATGCTTATAGATAGACAATGTCTATTCTTGTCCCCCCCCCCCCCCCCCCCTGGAATCCACAAAGGGAATTCTTACAATTAAAAGATGTTTCAATATATTTTTGACAATTCAAAGAACGGTAAAGGGTTACATAAAGCCTGTGTTGTTGTTACCCGCACGTGAAACACAGACAAGAAAGCTTTAAAGGAAGCTCCCAATCAGTCGACTCTTACGACGCGCTTTTGGGTAGGCAGTGGGTTTATTCTTTTTTTCCCTAAAACAGGGCCCCGGAACCCATACGGGGATAGGTTGACATAAATGTCAACTGTCTTTCATCGCCTGACTGCATGAGAGACCGTACTAACACACTGCATGGAAGGTCAAAATGAAACTGCGGCCTTAAACTGGTCTTTGTGTCAGGCCACATACTGACACCCGGGGGAAGTGGAAGATTGGGGGGGGGGGGGGGGGGGGGGCACGTGACTAATAACAAAAATTCCTTTGCTTGAATGAGACGCTAATGTAAGTTACTGGCGGAAGTCAACTTGTACATATTGACAACGGCCAACGTGTCAGGAAATGTGTAGGAGGGTGTGTGGATACAATACAATGTACGGTTTGAATAGACAAACACTGACACCGTGTATACGTTGGGAAACTGTATTTGAATGGCGCGGTTATTTGGCGGAGGCGGTTCCCTAAAATAAATGTCCCTTTATTTGAGCAGTGGTGTTGGCTGAGAGACAACTACTGTGCGAGTTACGTCAGCGATGACTCAGGTCCCATTGTGGCATAATGATTTAATTTAGTGGGGATGGGGTAGGTTTATGGGTAGCCCCCTACCACTCACAGCCTGTTTTAACGAAGAAACTTCATTTTCTCAGACACCGAAAATGTAGATATTTTAATTTAAAAAATCTATGACATTGCAGCAAAGAGAGTTTATAAACATGAAATTAGATTTACCTTAACTGTCAATACACAAAAGTAAGACAAAATAAACCAACAAATGATATGCCAACTTAATAATTCCGTACATGGTCAGGAAAACCGAGACCCCTTTAGTCTAAAAATGAGTTGAGAGAGAGAGAGAGAACAAACTTTATTTTCAAAGGGTTACAAATTGAAGAGAAGGGGGGGGGGGGGTAAGGGGGGTAAAACTACAGAAACATTAAAGACATACTGCAGATATTAGTTTATGCTTGGGGGGATGCAGATTAATGATTTACACAGAGAATGGTTTGTTTGAAGCTTATCTTGTGGCTGTTTTTACGGTGAATGTCTACCACACAATTTCCCGTAGGCAGGTGCGGTGTCATGGCAGCACCACTGGCCAAACCACTGTCTTTCTCATTCGTTCCTCGTGGACTTCTCAGGCCACTATATACTTTACTTTAAATCAGGCACGACTAAATAATTTGTCACACCCACACTGCCGTCCGTCACTTGACACATGGGCCCACAATCTCGTCATTTGTCACAAGAACGCTCGATGTCTTGACTTGTCACAGTCACACACAGTTTTATTGCTCTAGATGTCGAATTAGCTCATTCTATTTTATTCATCACATTAATTCTGCCTCAGTCGGGTACTACTAGAAGTCAGACAAACGGAGTTTTAACCCAGTCGGGGATAACTAAACCCAGTTATTACATCAAAGAGACTAATAAAATATTTAATATGATTAATACATTCGCAGGTACTGATTGGCATTTATAGGCATAGAGAAGAAAAGACATCCCACTGCCACCAAGTCCACTTGCTTATTTAGCGAGAAAGTAGGTCAGAAACTGGGCAGCTCGGGGAGGGGCGGATCATCCCTCTAACCATGTACAGATTTTTTTTTCTCTCCAAGTGTCAGTGTATGCATTTCAAAATATTTCAAATATATGAGGACATTTGTCTGGTCATTCAACATTTACTAATAACGATTGTATAACAAGACAAGCCCATTGAGCCTTCCCCTTTTTTCCTCCGGTGCTTTTCTGGGGAGGGGGGGGGGCGGGGGAAATAAATGAAAAACTTGTCACGTTCAACCAGCATCCAAAAAGTGGGAGCTTTAGGTTATAATTGTGACTAGATTATTGTGCCACGCAAAATATCTCAGCATTGCACGCCACCAAGAGCCATGAAAAGGACTCCTTCAGTGTTGATACGACGCAGTCGTCTACCGGCGAGCCAATGGGGGACCCTATTGCCGATGCCCTCCTCCTTCTCACCCCAAGACAATCATATGTGGCGGTGGGATTGAATCCTGGCCTGGGTCACTAAGACTTTCAGTTTGTATATAATTAAATCTGTACTTCTACTTCCACGACTGACGATTGATGCCTGATAATTTTTATCACAACTACAACGTAACAACGTTTGTTTTCTACAGTCTGTGGTTATTTCCTAATATTTATCGTACATCTACAAATTCACTTGAAATACAAACATAATTCGAGGACTTTGGGGGCAGTGAATCCACATCACTCGCCAGAATGGCAGACTACGGAATTAAGATCAGCAAAGCAAAAAACGAGACGTACACCAGACATGCCAGAAGACTTGTTAATCAACATATAACTGGTACTATTAGCCATCGGACGTTGGGGTTCATACTGAGGGGAGGATCTGAGCACCTATGGACATGTCAGGAGTGCAATGATGATAACCCAACTAACTAACAAAATTCGTCACCAGTAAACACTTACCTTTTAGAGCAGGAGTCTCCTTCTGGCTGAGGTACACTGAACCACGGCTGACTGTGTTATCTTCTCGTGCAGGACTGGACTCAGCTGACCACGACGATAAGAAACTGGATACACTAAAGCCACGAGCACGGTATGCCAATGTGTTGTCCAAATCGGCCACCGAACGTCCCTCGGCGGTTATATACAGGCAATCACTGTTACTTAAAATAGACCGCATTCCACAGGCATTCACTGGCTGAAAGGATCCACCTCGCTGAACT